CAATCCTCAGTACCAAATAAATAAATAAATAAATAAAACTATAATACAATTATAGTTTCTAATATACTAGTTTTTCATTTTCTTCCTTTTTTTAATCAACAGAAGTTTATTTTAATTTTTTTCTTTATTCAAGTTAAGAAGACATTCACTATAATTTGATTTTGGGGGGAGGGTGTATTCTTGAAATTTTAGTAAGTATGCTTAAAATAATAAAATCTTAGCTTAGACAGTATTATTATTTTCTTCTTCAAAAATAGAACATTAAATTGCTTTAATAGTTTTTATCCTCACCTASCATGAATACTTAGAATTGTTGTAAAGTGTGTTTTTCCCCTAATACCATAATTTAGACTTTAAAAAAATATATGCCATCAATGTATATTTTGGATTACCTACATGTTTGCCATTCTCCCCGCACCCGCCCCCAGTACCAGGGATTGAACCTAGRGCCACTTAACCACTAAGCCACATACTCAGCCTATTTATCTTTTATTTTGAGACAGGGTTTCATTAAGTTACTCAGGACTTTGTTAAATTGCTGAGACTGCCTTTAAATTTGTGAACCTCTCACCTTGACCTTCTGAACTTCTGGGATTGTAGGCATGTGCCACCGAACCCAACATGTTTACCATTCTTTACTCCCTAGTTCCTTCTTTAATCTTACTCCTTCCTAAATTTCATAACTTATGTCTACAAAATATATCCTCAAGTAAGAGTCTTTTGGTGAATTAAAGAAAAACAGGCTGTGAGTGTAGTGCAGTGGTAGAGCATATGCCTAGCATGCACAAGGACCTGGTTTGATCCCAACATCACCCCCAAATAATAAATAAATAACCCTCTCTGAAAATATCCTTATTTTGACCTTGTTTTGAAAAATAATTTCTCTGAATATATTTTCTAAGTTGACATCTACTTATTCTCAGCAAAAGATGATATCATTTCATCGTCTTCTGGCTTCTCTTACTGAAATTGAAAGGAAAACCCTGAATCTAATTATTTTCCTTTCATAAGTAATCTATTTTCTTTTTGACTGCTTTTAAATCTTCTTTGCCTTTATTTTTCTACAGTTTTGCTACAGTTTATCTCTCTGTTTTTATCTGTGTTTTTTTTAAGCTTTGAAAATATGAGGACTGTTTTCTTCCATTTTATTTTTCACTTCATTAATTCTATCTGTATATAATCTGATTTTAAATTTAGTACTGATTTTTTCATGCCTAAATATTATATTTGGGTTTTTTTCTATTAGACCTAATAATTTTGGTAGTCTACTTTTCCTAAATAATCCTTTCAAATCTAGGTTCATACTAAACTTATAAAGCTAACTTTGCATTCTCTCTCTTTTTTAATATATGACAGTGCAGAATGCATTACAATTCTTATTATATAATACAGCACAATTTTTCCTATCTCTGGTTGTATAAATAGTATATTCACACCAATTCATGTTTTCATACATATATATCTAATCATTTCAGTATCTGAAACCTGGTTCCATTGTTTGTTTATTCTGCTGCATCTCATACATGGTAGGTTTTGTTCTTTAACATTTAGTAATTTTGCATTGTAAGGATATATTTGTGGAAGTATCTTTGTGAGGATTTTTTAAGTTGTTAAAGGTGTGTACTTTCAAAGAGAGTTGTGCCTGTTGTTTTTCCCCATGATACACCTGGGAGACATGATAGCCCCACACAACTTTAAGTTGCAATTGTCAGATTGCTGTTTTTAGGTCCACAGTTGTCAAAATGCCACAAAATGTATAGTTTTCATTCATTTGTGTGTGTGTATGCGTGTGTGTGTGTGTGTGTGTTTAAATATCATTGATAGTAAAGACAGTTTACTGTCTGCTTCTGAGTTGTTATTTTTTTCTTTAGTTGACCTAATATCTGAGTATCACCTTTCTCAGATCTTAACAGTTATGTAGGGTATTTGTCTGTCTGGTCAACTTTGGGAAGCCATTATTCTGCTTACCACAGTGATACATTGCCATCTCTAAATGAATCCTTCTTACTAATTTCCTCTTTTCCCTTATTTTTCCTCCCTCCTTCCTTCCTTTTCGTCCTTCCTTTCTTGCCTGCCTACCTTCCTTTCTATCATAGATAGCATTTGATGACTTGAATRGGATCTTCCTTTGACTCAGCTAAAAAGGCATAAAGAAATCTTGACCAAAACTGCAAATTTAAGGGAGTTTTACCAATAACAGTCTCAGAACTCAAGCAGAAAATGTATCACACTTTCAGGGTACAGTACATTCAGGACATCATATTGCCTGTGCCATCCATTTTCTAAATTATTCTGAACTATATGTGTGTCTTTTTTTTTCCTTTTAAATGAAAGTCTACACTAACATGACCCTCTGATAAAGGAGCCAAAGGTTAGATCAAAGATAATGAGAAGACTTCTGGAAGTCTTTGCAAATTGCTCTCTATTTACATCACAGAGCATCATAGTTATCTATTTCCTAATCATCACAGTGCTCAGTTACATTTGGACATTTTCCCTTCATTTTTTCTCTTAGTCTATTTGTATATATTTTGGTTGCATATTTTTACTTTGTGTTTCTTGTTATTAAATTCCAGTTTTATTTTCATTGCTACTTTAACCTTATTTTAAATGTACTATTATATTTTCCTCACGTTACAGTTTTCTATTAGTTTTGCATATTCTGAAATATACTTAATTTCATTACCCAAGTTATCAATTAAAATATTAAGTACTAGCTCCAGAATAAGCAAATATATTTAGGCATTAATGAATATGGCTAACAAATTACAGTGATTCATTAGCTTTTTTTTCTGCAGCAATAGTTGCTACAAGTATATTGTCCCTGCCCTCAGAACCTTTATAATTTGAAAGATGCTGTGAGATAAAACAAAAACAAATATATCCAGTTATAGCAATTCAGTTATATTCTAGCATAATTTAGTCTCTGGAGCGAAGTGATAAGTATAAAGCTTTCTGTAGGAGGAGACTTATTGAGCTGTTATATTCTAAACATMTTTTTGATTTTAAAAACTTGCATATTATCCTGGTAAATATACATTTTTAAAATATGAAGAGTAAAAAAAACTTTATAATTGCTTTATCTCCTAATGTTTTAAATATTTGTGTGTGTCTGTATGTGTGTGTGTGTGTGCATGTGTGTGTTGGTGACTAGTATTTGGGAATATGGAAAAGATGTGAGTTTACAAAAGGAATCATTTCTATTATTCTAATAATAGTGTATAGTAAGCCTTATTTTCTATTTTGATAGGTTTTACAATCCTGTTTTTAAAATCTTGTATTAACCTTCTAAGTTACAATTACAATTAAAAATGCATTCATATTCTTTAGTATCTATTGAGGTTATTTCAAACCTACATAAAAGAAAATGAACCATGTTAGTTCAATGTTTTGCTAATTTTACCTGTTTAGTTTGTAACTACTTAGTTAATGCTTATTTAGTTAGAAAAGGTAGTGATGGGCAGATTTTCTCTCATGTTGCCACAGTTATTACTTATGGTAACACTTATGTCTGTGTTAACATTTTATTGACATTTTATTAAATTGTGAGTAGTAGGCAGCTAATTAAAATTAAGGACGATCTTTGAAATAATTCCTACACAACACTATAGTACTGCACTACAGTTTTATTAATGGTACCCACTTTTATTTTTATCTATCTGTCTATCTATTTATTTATTTTGAGACAGTCTTTTGCTGTCTTTCCCAGGCTGGCCTGGAACTCCTGGGCTCAAGGGATCCTTCTGCCACACCCTCCAAAGTATCTAGTACTGCAGCTGTATGCCACCGTGCCCTGCTGACTCTAGACTTTTAAATATTAAGACCAAAAAAATAAGTTCTCATATGTCTCACCTAAGTACAGTATGGTGCATTTTCTTCTGTCAATAACCAAAAAATTGCCTCACCTGAGAACCATGTAATCTTCCCTGATACATCCTGATTTTTTTAAATGTGTATTTTTTAGTTTTTTAGGTGGACACAATATCTTTATTTTTAAAATTTTTTTTTAAGTGGTGTTGAGGATTGAACCCAGCACCCCGCACATGCCRGGCAAGTGCCCTACCGCTTGAGCCACATCCCCAGCTCCCATCCTGATTTTAATTATTTTTTGTTTAGAGATTCAAGTTCAGCTTGCAGTCCAGCATTTTCATAGGAAGATTATAATACTTTTTAATCTTGGTATCTTCTTACTAACTAGTACTGAGTTAAAAGCTAGTGTTTGATCCTTGTAATAAAGATTAGAAAGTGCCTTATCCATTCACAATAGACATACCTACAAAATTGCTGAGTGGTTTTGAGGCAGTCAACTTAAACAGCTATATTTCTTTTTAACAAGCATTGAATTAATTTAAACTTTGTTTCTCCAAAGTATATGATAAGATATTTTCCTTTTGGTGCATTGATAAGATAATGTATGAGAGCCAAAAATAATTTTTAAATAAAGTATAATATAATAGGTCACTACAAACTTACCAAAATCTTCTATATATGAATTTACTTCATACTAGGTTATGAATAAAAAATTTTTTTAGTGGGGGGATTGAACCCAGGTATATTCTGTCACTGAGCTAGATTCCCAGCCTTTTTATAATTTTTGATTTAGAGATGGGGGTCTTGCTAAGTCACTGAGGCTGTCCTTGAACTTGGATTCCTCCTGCCTCAGCTTCCAAAATAGTGGGGATACAGGGTGAATAGTATTTTTGTATTTTCTTAGAAGTTTTTCATGTCTCAGTAGAAGGGCAAAGGGAGGGATTGGAGAAATTGACTCTTTTTGACAAAACCATGTTGAACTTAGAAACAGCAGCTGTATACTAGTACACCTTTGAAAACACTATGAGTTTACTAGCAGTGTAATTTAATACTGTTGTATGCAGCAGAAAACAAAAAAGGTAAGCTAAAGTGTTTTCTTTTAAGGTCAGTTAGAAAGACTTAGARTGTATAATTGTCATTCTTTGTAACTATTCTTTAGATTTCAGTTGTGCTTCTTAAAATTTCTATAGGTACTGAAAACAGATACTGAGGAACTTGTCTCCAGAAGCTATTGGGATACACTGAGACGTAACACAAGCCAAGCATTGTTTTCAGATCTCGCAGAGGTATAATTAAACCTCAACAAGGTCCTTGTACTATTTGTCATTTTGTTAAATCTAGTCTTCATTTTGTTTTAGAGTCACAGGATGAAACAACAAATGTACAATATTTTTTTATTCAGTAAAGTATTAATTACTACATGTAAACTGTATTTGAATGTCAGCTGTGCTGACAAGGGCTGCAAGACAACCTACAGTTGTCTGTGTTAAATGAATTTCCTTCTTGTTAAAACATGACTTGCCAACTTAATTAAAAGGAAACAGTGTGTGGTCAGAACAGTCAATAAAGAAAGAAAGGAATAATTTACTTTGCATTATTTAAGATTGCCAGTGCATGGTGAAAATAAAAAAACAAACTGCGCCTCCACCAGGCATTCTGGCCTCAATCCTCAAAACATGGCAGTGGGCTAGCTGCAGCACATTGTCACCAAAAATGATTTCCTGTCTGATTTCATGTGCTGCTTCCTGTCCTTCCAGCAAAATGTTCATTGTGCAGGTAGTGGTAGGGGTTGGGGGGGTGGGGGTCAGATCTGCTTCTATCCGGAGTAGATCTGCTTGGGGATGTGGGCTATGCAGGTCATGAGGTGGTAGGGGAGGCCAGAGCAATGTTCCTCGCCAAGTAGGCTTGGCCATGCGTCTGTGCCTAGGGTGAAAGTGACCTTCTCACTCTGGGACCCTGGGAATGACACAGGGTTACCCCAGCACCTGGCAGCCAGTCTTCCTGTGACCCTCCTGACAACAGTGATGCCACTTGCTTTCCATGTAGTTGAGACAGGGAAGTTATTGTTTGCATTAAAAAATCGTGTTCCCTGTGTATATTTTTTAAAAAARGAAATGTCTCAGAATTGTGTGAGAATAAAACTGTTTGAAAAATCAAAAGAAAAACAGACTGACCCTATTTTAGTTTTATTATAATTTTTTAATTTAATACCGACACGTACCTTACTGCTGCACATAGGGTAGGCTGCTTCTACCACACCCCACTTTTGTTAAGCCACAGTCAATAGAGATTTTAATTTTAAAGGATGGGCTGTGTCTTAAAGATTAAATACTGTCTTATGTTTACTATTAAGAATTTTTACACTTAAAACTCAAGGTKTTTTAAGTAAATATTTTGTAAAAGCACTTTTTTAGAGTACATTAGGATTGTAGCTCARCAGTGGAGCCCTTTGCTAGCATGTACAAGGCAGGCCCTGGGTTGGATCCCCAAGCTGCAAAAACAAACAAAAATCTATCATCTTACTAGAAAGGACTTCTTGGCAAATACTAAGAGATTTGTTTTTCATTACCTTTTTCTCTTTAAAAGTTTTCTTCTCATTTCTTTTTCTAAACTTTAAATTTGATTTTTAAAAATTACTCCTAAAAATTATAGAGAAGGAAACCGCAAACATCAATTGTAATGCCTTTTTTTTTTTTTTTTTTTTTGAGATGGAATCTCACCAATTCCTGGGCTCAAAGGATCCTCCTGCCTCAGCCTCACAAGTAGCTGGCATGGCAGGGGTGTGCCACTGTGCCCGGCTTAGTTGTGATATGTGTTATATTCCATTATCCATCTTTATAGTGTTACTCAATTTGGCATTCAGGGATGGATGCCAAACTAGGGGAATTTTGTCATTTCTGCTCAATTTTAAATCCCAAAACAAATAAATTTTACATTTTTTCCTATGCTTAATCTGTAATATATAAATATGATGTAATTATCACCATTTATTACCTCATATAATTACCTTTTAAATTTGAGTCATGTTTAGGTATGAAGTGGAAGATATTCTATTCACATGTATCTTAGAAATACTTTATTTTATAATCATTTAAGTAGGACAGAGTAGTTGTACTTATTTAAAAATAAGAGTAACTGGGAACACTACCCCTGTAAGTCCCTACAAGCCAAGTAACTGTGGCCAAGCTTCCAGGCTTCAAATTAATAGTCGTGTCCCTATTGTCTCCCCCCATACTAGAGTGTCTACCTCCCAATTTCCAGCCTTTCTTTAATCCTATCTAACTCCTAAAATTCCCACAGATAAAATCTGCTAATTAGATTTTGAATTTAATTTAAATATTAGGAAACATTATATCAGAAGAGCAGTCAGGTCTTGTATACTCAGAGGATTATGATTTGTGTGAGAGTACTGGAAAATGTTTGTGGTTCTATCAGAAGTATGCTGGCACTGGCTTTTACAACTTCCCAGAACTAATTCTATACCTCTTTCTGGCTTAACAATTTTCGACATATCTTTGGTACCCTAAAAGTGGTCTTAAAACACCCTTTTTAAAGTTTTTATAAAATCATATGATGAAAATTTTCATGACACAGCTGATACTACTTTCTAACCAAAATCTCATATTATAAATTCAGAGTTCAATATAAGCATTATCATGCAACATGCTGAATACAGTCTCTGTCACTACCAGAATTATCAACACTATTTTGAGTATTACAGAGGAAATCTAAATTTTTCTTACTTGCCTTAAACTTTACTTATTCTTACTAAGTTTTTTTAAGAGAGAGAGAGAGAGAGAGAGAGAGAGAGAATTTTTTAATGTTTATTTTTTAGTTTTTGGTGGACACAACATCTTTATTTTTTTATTTTTATGTGGTGCTGAGCATCGAACCCAGCGCCCCACGCATGCCAGGAGAGCACGCTACTGCTTGAGCCACATCCCCAGCCCAATTCTTACTAAGTTTTAATAAATTATTTAAAAACAAAATTAAAGCAATAGTTTGAAGATTTCCTTCAGCCCTTAGATAGAACTTATCACACTATAATAAATGAAAAGATGTTGAAAGGCTATCTACAGTTCATTATTTTAATAGTTGAATCAATTTGTATTTTGTACAAATTTATTTCATTTTTTTATTTGATCACTTAAAATTATTTACTTTRTTTGCTGAGAATTGAACCCAGGGTCTAATCCATGCTAAGCAAGAACTCTACCACTAACTGAACTATACCTCAGCCTAAAATAATTTTTAATCAAAACAAAATTAGATARTAGCCTTTCATGTAAATGGCCCATTGATTCTTTTGTGACTTTTCCTGGCTTTGTTATGAAAACACCTGAATTTATTTTATTTTAGCAATGAACATAAGAATCAAGGGGATAAAGTCTTTATTGTTTGTTAAGTCTCTTGTACTTTTCGTTGTGTAACACTGGTAGGATACCAAGGACAATGGTGTAGTTTTCAGTGACTACAAGCAGTACTCTGTATCACTAAATGGGGAAACAAGCTTTCCCTATTTCCATTTTCTAATTTTTTTTTCTCTAACATCAAACTGTTACTTATGCCTCTGTGGATCTGGATTATTGGATAAGTGTAACATGAATCTAATAAGATTTTAACGCTGAAACATTTTAAGATGTGCTCTACTCAATGGGCATGAGAACTGGCCAAGTGAGGTCATTATTTCAAGCCTGTATAAAACCAAGCCATCTCATTTCAGTATACTATGTCTTATAGTAAATGACTTATAGTAAATGACTTCACAACACCAGAGAAAGATGTTCCTTAGTTATATTATTTGAATTCACTAGTTTTTGGTGTTTCTGGGACCTCTCATTTTTAAGCTATTTTTTTATATCTATATAGCATGTGCTTTCAATGACAGTTTTTTGTTGTGTCTAATCCTTTTTGAACTTCTTGAAATATATTTATTTGGCAAAAATAAATAATAATAGCTAACATTTATTGAACATTTACAGTGTGCTTGTCACAGTGGTAAAATATTTATATGTATTATCTAGCTTTGGAACAACTTTTTAGAATACGTACTGTTACTATTCCTGAAGATAATAATGTCCTCACGGAGGTTAACTTCCCCAGGGTCACTTAAATAATGAGAAGTGTCATTATTCAGTGCCAGCCAACTGACTGGAACTCATCATCTAATTTGCTCACCACACTACTGCTTATTTCTGAAATAAGCAACTTTTGGAAAAATACCTCTTCTTACCCTTTACACACTTTGACCTCTTTTTTCCTGATCCATTTTTCTMGCTTCAAGACAAATACCCTGGTTTTTCATGCAGACTGTCTAGAACCTCCTCTCATGCTTCACTTAAGCATGCCTTCAGAGATATTTTCTTCCCCTGTTTATTTGTTTGAAGGATTATAAAGTGAACAATCTAGATATGTAAATCATAAAAGAGAGTCTATAGTTAACATCAGGTATCTCCCCCTCCCCAGTGCTATTTATATCTTATGGCTACCAATAAGAACATCTGTGTGATTTTTTTCTTTTACATTCCTATTTTAATTTTATCCACAAACTTGTTATTATAGATAAAAAGTATCCCCATTTAACAGATAATGAAGCCGAGGATCAAAAAAGTTAATGAAACAAAAATTTTGATTCTAAATCCTGGCTTTTTTTTTTTTTTTTTTTTTAAGAGCATTCTAGCCTTCTCGACTTAAAGCTACTGGTGAAATGGCACCTTTCCAGGGGAATTCAAATTGTAGTCTCCTTTACATACATAGCACTGAAAGGCTGGTTCTTCCACTCTTATTCTTCATCATTCAGAATATATTTTATTAAGAAGATATATTTAAAAAAATAGTATGTTGCACTTGACTACCTGCCTATATTATTTTTCTTCTACCAACAGATCAAACTGCTAACAGTCCTTCAAAGAAGTTGATAGTGTTATTAAGAAACTTCTCAAATATTCCAACTATTGAGAAGTCTTAGGACAGAGACATAGGTAATCAAAGTAGCAGAGAAATCACTGTAGAAAAATAGTTTAGTGCATTAATAGAAGTACATGTTAGAAGGGAGATCAGAATGTGTGATCTCTGCTAAAAGAAAAAAAAAATGATTCAGGGAGAAAGGAAATAAAGATCCAACCAATTTTAAAGGATAAAATAGCTGTGTTCATGAAAGATTGGAAAGAGGGTTGTGAGGAATCAAATACCAAATTTTATTGTGTAGAGGTAGGTGAAATGAGACTTTTTGTCAGGGACAGTAGAAAACGAGTTCTTTGTAGAGAAGATTTTTTGGTTTTGTTTTTGTTTTTCCTTATGTCCTGTTGTGGAGTACTATCAGTATTATGKCTGAGAAGTGACACATTTCAACTGTGTATCTTTAGTGAATATCTGCAGTGATTTTTTTTTAATATAGAAAATGATTTAACCTCTTATGTTTCTTACATTTCCTAGGATGCTATGTAGGAGAGTTACATTCATTTGAATTTTATGATTTTTGTACCTGAGTTTATAAAAATAGGTATGAATTAATGTCTATGTGAAGAAGGAGGGGAGGGAGGGAGGGAGGGAAGGAGGGAAGGAGGAAAAAGTGAGACCTATAATACTTTAAAGAAGGAAATTTCTGTAGCCATTGGACTTTGTAAGGAATATAATCAAGCGGTTTGAAGAAAACATGTGTTGGAACTTAGTTTACTAAGTTGTATAGAAAGGGGAAAATCCTCTAGTATTAACTTATGAGAGATTCAAGGAAATCATGTAAACCCTTTTTTTAAACCTTTGAAAAAATTATTTAAATTGCAAGATATATTATCACTGTAGTTTCAAAATATAATATCATCTATTTAAAATATCACTGTTATTTAATAGGACAGTATTCTGCTTAAAAGAATGTTTTAGGAAGTTTGGAGTCATTCTCATGTCAGTTCTGTGTCTGCAATACACTCACAAAAATTTACCTCTTTTGACCACCTGTAAAAAATGGATTTTTCAGATTAAACAGGAAAATCCAAATCAAATTACTGAAATAAAAATAGTATACTTAGATGATTACTAAAGGATTTAAACTATCTCAGATAATTTAAAGTACATGTACCCTATAGGCATAATTTCAGATTAAAAACTTCTTAAATATTGTCATGTCTTGAACATTTGGGGGGGATAAAAATCAGTTTTGTTAAAAGTTTTGTTTTTAAAATTTGAACTTCCTTTTAACTGTAATTACATTTATTAATATAGCCTACATTTCTCATTCTAATGTTCTTACCATTGCATTCTTGATATTTATATGTTGATAAAATTCTTTGAGGAATTTTATTTTATCTTTTTAATTGCAAATTACCTTTTAAATTGTGTTTTTTTTTAAGCGTGCTGATGACATCACAAGTTTAGTAGCAGATACTACACTTCTTGTACACTTTTTTGGAAAGAAAGGAAAAGCTGAGCTGAACTTTGAAGATTTTTATAGGTGAGCTTAATTTTTACTTAAAATTGTTAGAATTTTGGGCTGGGGATGTGTCTCAAGCGGTAGCGTGCTCACCTGGCATGCTTGGGGCACTGGGTTCGATCCTCAGCACCATATAAAAAAATAAAGRTGTTGTGTCCACCAAAAACTAAAAAATAAATATTAAAAAATTTTCTCTCTCTCTCTCTCTTAAAAAAAATTGTTAGAATGTTAATGTCATTAGAAATCATCTAGTGCAGTGATATCATTTGCTACTCTCATCTTAACTGAAGATACTCTTTATATTATCCACTTCCACTAATACCTTTATACCAGTGTTATATTGATAATTGTGACAGGAAGTTGTTGAAAGATCAAAATGTCTTCATGTCTTTATTGATTGTTATCACCTATWTGTCCAGAAGTATACACCCATACCTTAGTCTCAATAAGCCACAGTAGTATTAAGCAATATAAGTATCATCACCACTCTGCAAGGTGTGTGTATTATCTCCACTGTACAAATAGGGAAACTTAAGCCCTGAGAGGTTATTTGCCCCAGGTGCTACAGTCATTGAGTGATAAAACCTCTTATAACTTATCCTTTTTTCTTTCCCATTTACCAAGAGGATTTTCATAAAGCTTTGAGTCATCATTTAATTAACTTATTTCCAAATAATTTTTTCTAGGACAGTGAACATTTGATCATTGCTTTTGATCATTTTTTATTGTACTTTATCATAGATTCATGGATAACCTTCAAACAGAAGTTCTAGAAATAGAATTCCTTTCCTACTCCAATGGAATGAATACCATCAGTGAAGAAGATTTTGCTCATATTCTTCTACGATATACAAATGTGGAAAATACATCAGTATTTTTGGAAAATGTGCGTTACAGTATACCTGAAGAAAAGGTATCTAATTCACTGTATTTATTTTGGTATATACATTATCTTGTAATTATATAGGTCTATAAAATACCTCTTTRGTTGGTTTTCTTTCTCCTCTGTGAATCAAAGATATTTTGGATAAATTTTATCCTTCTGTGTCCCAAGTGTTCTCTCCAAATTTTAAAAAATTAATTTTAAATTCCAGGTAGATACCCATATATTTGTTTTAGGTATGCTAAAAACCTTTAAAGCTATTAGAAGTTGTTTTATTCAAATTAAGAATATTATTTTTCAAGAGAATTCTGCTGACTTGTATGCTTTGACTAGTACATGAACATCACTTCAAAACAGTTTATATTGACGTCATTTATCTCACACACCATTCATTTCTATAACACCCTTAATAAAAGGTCATTTGAAGACTGCTGTTGATGAGTGAGTGATCTTATCTGCAGTTGAAGTGAGGCTTTTCAAAGAGTTTGGAAGGCATGAATGGTTAAGAACCTGAGACAACTGGTTGTCTATTTGTTTAGTAACAAATGTGTTGTCAGCACTGCTGAGCAGTTGCATTATCTAGTGGTATTTGAATGCATCATTGCAACCAAATAGAACTGGTGTCWCAAGTACCCTTTTAAGCATGGGATGTTTTGGACATATTGCCTCTGTTTGTGTTTATAGAAGGATCAGGTTAATCTTTCCAAGAAAAACTTGCAAATGTTTGACTTTGTTTAGAATGGATACACTGTGACAATGTTAACAATTCTGTAAGTCCCCTAAGGAATGAGAAAAAAAAAGGACTTGATGCATTTGGTCATTAGTTTACATTGCTTTTTAATCAGGGAACTTGTATCTATTAAGCTGAATTTTTCCAACTCATACATAATTCCATAAAAATAAATATTAGAAACTGTATTACTTGAGCTACTGTAGTATTATTTAGAGCCTTGAATCTTTTTTTCTTTTAATTCTTTATTTTTTAAATGGAAATATCAAAAAATACAGATTCTGAAGGTCAAATTTCAGGAATGACAAGTTTATAGAAACTTTTTCTACTGTTTTTACAATTAATTTTTACATCTAAAATTATATCAGAATGAAAAGTCTTATTTTTCATTCAGCTTCTGAAAACTTCTCATTGATAGAATCATCTTACTACAAATCATTACAATAGAAATAAAAAATTTTGCACCAACATTAATCCAAATTTATTTCTTTTCTGTATTACCACATTAATTCTGAAAACATCCTTGCAGGCCAGTGATATTTCTACTGCACCCTACTTAGGTCTTTTTCTTACTATTTTTCTCTCCAGTGGTATTGTGGGGGCTGCTTTTGAATAGCATTTTATATGTATAAAATATTTTTATTCCCATTCATTTATCTAGCAGATATTTATTAAGTGGATGCCTATCTACTATTTATGAGTCCTTATATTAAGCACTAAGGATAAAATAACAAGATAAATAAAATTTTATTTTATAGAAATACAGAGATAAACAAACAAAAAAGTGTTATTCAGATACTGATGTTATGAAAAAATCATGGTGAATAGAGAAGAAGGTAGATTCTTTTGTGAATTTTCTTAAGAGAACCTGTGAAGAATGACCTATGCAAAGATGTGGATAAAGATCATTTCTGGCAGAGATAACAGCAAATAACAAAAGCCTGGGGAGGGGAAAAGCTTAGTTTGATAAAATTACAAAAGGCATTTCCTAAAGTAAATAAGAAAGTASTAGGTGATAAAGAGGAAGAAAAGAGACAGATGTGGGTCAGGTCTTATAAGATCCTATAAGCCAAGATAAGGAATTCATTTTATTCTAATAATGACTTTTTATATTGGTGATRTATTTTATTCTAATAATGATACCAATAGTGTTATAGTATTTAAATTCTACAGCAGAAATCATCTAAACTACCCTAGCTCCAATTTTTGTGAATAAAATCTTATTGGAATACAGTCTTGCTCATTCACTTAATGTATTGTCTGTGATTGTCTGYGACAGCTTTTGTACCATGATGATAAAGTTGAATAGTAACAACAGAGACCATATATAGCAGCAAAAATGAGAATATTTATTCCCATGCCTTTTACTGGAAAAGTTTGCCAACCTTACTTTAGAGTTTATTCATTCAAGTATTTATTCAATAAGTATTGACTATCWACTTTAATATTCAGATATGATCTAATTCATATACCATATACCATCTGATTGATGTTTCAAAAAATCATCATGGCTGCTACATAACAGGATAAATTTTAGTTGGCCTGGCTTTGAAAGAGACAAGTTAAGATGCTTTAATAAGAGTCCAGGTGCAAGATAAGTATGACTTAAACCAGGATAAAAATAGAGAAAAGGGTCAGGTATTGAATCACTGAAAACAGAACTGATAGAACTTGTTTATGGATTATACCTCAATGYGAAGTAAAAAGAGGAATCAAGAAAAGGTGAAACAAGGGTACCATTTTCTGAGCTAAGTAAGACTACTATAGATTTAGGATTAGAAGAGAATCAAAAGTTTTATTAGGAACAAGTTAAGTTTGATATTCCTACTAGATATCCAAGTATGGATAATAAGCAGACAGTTGGATATGTGTGAATACAGTTTTCAGGGGTGCAATCAGGGATGCTGATTAGTAGTCATTAGTAGATCTTAGGTCATGTTTCCAGCTAAATTTATCCTCAGAATTTCAACCTTTTGCCTACAGCTTACTCAGCCTGTCTACTTGGAGAGCCAATAGATATCTCAGGTTCCAAGGTTGCAAAACTTGTTCCATTTTACCACATTTCCTGTTCAATTAATGGAAACTCCTAGTTTACTTAGAAAACATTTTCACTACACGTTTTCATTATACCAAAAGTAAAACCTATAACTATTAAGCTATTTCTCCTCGTTTTCTTTTCCCTGTAGCACCTGACAGCCATCACTCTCCTTTCTCTTATGAATTTGCCCATTCTAGATATTTCATAAATGGAATTATACAATATGTGATCTTTCAAATTCTTTCATATTTTTGAGATGTATCCACATTGTAGCTTGTATCAGTACTTCATTCTTCACAGTGAGTGAATACTAATCCATTATATGTATGTGCTACTATTTAATTTTTCATTCATCCATCCACAGACATTTGGGCTCTTTTTACCCTTTGGCTATGTGAGTAGTGCTGCTCAGCATATACCATTTTTCAGCTCTTTTGTGTATATACCTGCAAGAGGAATTGCTGGGTGATATGTTATTTTCCATATGTTATTTTATTAATTTAGCCATCTTAGCATATGTGAAATAGTATTCCATGTAGTTACCTTTACTTTAAATATGAGTCTTTATTTCTTCATATGGGTACGAGTTACTATCTATATCTAGTTTTCTTTCTTTTCAGCATAAAGGACTTTCTCTAGCATATATATATATATATATATATATATATATATATATATCAAACCTTCTAGCAATACGCTATCTTGCCTTTTGTTTATCTAGGAATATCTTAATTTCTTTTTAATTTTGAAAGGATCGTTTGCCAGTTTAAAATTCTTGGTTGGCAAAGTTTTTCTTTCAGCATTTGAACTGTATCATTCTGCTGACTTCTGGCCTTCATGATTTTGATGAGAAGTCAGCTGTTATTCTTTTTTTTTTTTTTTTTTTGTATTTTATTTATTTATTTATTTATTTATTTTTTTTAATTGGTCGTTCTTATTTAGGATCATTTTTACTCAGGAATCATTTCTTTCTTGCTACCTGCAAGATATCTGTTTTTGGCTTTCATTAGCTTGATAATAATTTGTCTTGATGTGGGTCTCTTTCAGTTTATTCTACTTATATATCATATATGTAGACTTAGGTCATTCATTAGATTTGAAGTTTTCAGTCATTTCTTCAAATATCTTTCTGCTCAACTCTCTCTCTATTCCATCTATGTTGGTACTCTTGATGGGCCCCCATCTGTTCACTTTTCTTCATTCTTTTTCCTTTCTTCTCAGACTGAATAATTTCAAAGTTGTCCTTCCTCAGCTTCTCTGATCCTTTCTTCTGCCTGCTTAGATCTGTTTTTGAACCTCTGTAGTGAGGTTTTCATTTCAGCTATTATGCTTTTCATCTTTTTTTGTTTGGTTCCTCCCCCCCCCGACCCCCCTGTGTTCCTGGGGATTGAACCAGGGCCTTTTGCATGCGAGGCAAGCACTCCACCAACTGAGCTATATCCCCAGCCCTGTTTGGTCCCTTTTTGTAATTTTCTGTCTCTTTATTGATATTCTCATTTTGTTCATACATCATTTTGCTAAGGTTTTTTTGGTTTGATTTTGATTTGTTTTGTTTTAATTCTTTATTCATGATTTCTTTTAATTCTCTTAAGATAGTTTATTTAAAGTCTTTGTCTAGTCAGTCCAGTATCTAGGATTCCTCAGGAATAGTTTCTGCTGAAGCCATGCAACCATCCATTTCTTTAGTGACTTTTTCAAACTATTTAGTAAAGGAATATAGATCCATGTGGTATATAGGTACTAAGTTTCTGCTTTGTTATCTTAGTGGTCCGAGATTTCCATATATGTCTAGACCCAAAAGAAGAACAATAGTGTTATCCTACTCTTTGCAACTTGGCTCTGAGACGGAGCACTCCTTGAACACTGAGCCAGACTTCTGGAAACTCTCACTTAGCCTTCAGCTGCTGCTCCTGCAGTGCTTACAGYCCTGCCAGAGACCATAGCCTAGAGTCCTCTTGTCTTTTCTGAGCATGCATCCATCCTGGGCATGTGCATTGTATGCCAGTTTCCTAGAAATATACAATGGTACAGTGGCCCTTTGAGTTTTTACTGCTCAAAGAACTATTCTTACCAGCCTCCTACTTTCCAACCTTTTGAATTTTATCTGCTATTTTTTACATCTTTCATCCCTTGATCCAGGTAGATGGGGGGAGGTGTATATATTTAAATCTTTTGACAGATGTTCTGTTACCAGGAATGTTGCTCCAATCCAAGGGGAAGAGAGCAAAAGAAAAGTCAGTCTTTTTGTGAACCTTGAGACAGGTTCAATCACATACCACAGTATTTTAAGAATAAGGTCCATGTGCATCCCCTGATACCAGCAGACCACACTAGGAATGCCAGCCACCATACCCAAAGTCACTTATACAGTCCAACAATAATGAATGATAATTAAACAGGTAAAAGTACCCCAACATTTTATCAGTGAATTTTATCCACCCKTTTCTTCATTAGTCATTAGTCAGCTTGCTGTAAATTTGGATTGGATTACAGGGTTCAAAATATTTTTTTTGGTTCTATCAGTCTTTCTAGGTTTATGGTTGTTTCTGTGGACAGACTGATTCTTTAAGTACCCTAGTTGGCCATTGTCCATGATGTCACCCCCCTATTTTTCTTCAGTTCTTTTCACATTATATTTCAGTCATTTTAGAGACAAAGAGTACACACATTGGATAGTCTTAGCCATTTTGGGGCACTATTGTCATGACTACAGACAAAGCACATCAATCTGAACAACTAGTATAATACTAGCAATCTTTATTGAACTGTATCTTATTGCCTCAGTTTTTCCACTTATGAATTCTGCTGTTCAAGCCAAATGTACCTATAAGTATATATTTATATCTTGAGTAACATTTTTCAACAAACGTGTGTAGTTTTATCATAAAATATACACATAGCATAAAATTTCCATTTTAACCATTTTAAAGTATAAAATTGAATAGCATTAAATAATTTCACGRTATTGTGCAACCATCACTACTGTCTAGTTTCAGAAGTTTTTCATCATTCCTAACAGAAACCTTATACCCATTAACAGTGATTGCCCATTCCCCTACCCCTCAGACCCTGGCAACCACTAATCTTCTTTCTGTCATGGATTTGTCTAATATAGATATTTCATTTTAATGAATCTTACAATGTGTGGCCTTTTGCATCTGACTTCTTTTACTTAGTATAACTTCTTCATGGTTCATCCCTATTGTACTAAGTATCAGCACTTTGTTCCTTCCTATTGCCAAATAATACTCAGTTTATGAATATACTACATTTTGCTATCTCTCAGTTGTTGAACTTTTTTTTTAAAGAGAGAGAGAGAGATAATTTATTTAATATTTATTTTTTAGTTTTTGGCGGACACAACATGTTTGTTTGTATGTGGTGCTGAGGATTGATCCTGGGCCACACGCATGCCAGGCGARCGCGCTACCGCTTGAGCCACATTCCCAGCCCARTTGTTGAACTTTTGAGTTGTCTTTTATTTGGGCTCTTATGAACCTTGTGTATAGCCTTTTATATGAACATGTGTTTTCAGTTTTCAAAAGAATTGAGAATATATAAAGAGCTAGATCACATGGCAACTTTATGTTTTAATATTTCAGGGCAATACCAAAATGTTTTCCAAAGCAGATATACAATTTTTATAATCCCATTAGCAACATGTAAGATTTCTAATTTCTCTCCATCCTCATTACCACCTCTTACTATCTCTTTGTTTATTTAGTCATTCAAGTTGGTATGAAGTGGTGTMTTACTGTGGTTTTTGATTTGCATTCCCCAGCATTTTTTCATGTTGTGTTTGTTGGCCATGTGTATATCTTTTTTGAAGAAATGTCTGTTCAAGTCCTTTGCCTGTTTTTTAAATTGTATTGTCTTCTTGTCACTGATTTGTGAGAGTTCTTTTTATATTCTGTATACTAGACCCTCATCAGATATATGATTTGCAACTTTTTCTCCCATTTGGTGATAAGTTGTCTTTTCATTTGCTTGATAGTGCCTTTGATCTTCACAAATTTTTAATTTTGATAAAATTGGGGTTATTCTATTTTTTCTTTTGTTTCTTGTGCTTTTAGTGTCATATTTAAGAAAAACAATGCCAATTGATAGATTATGAAATTTTGTCTCTAGGGTTTTTTGTGGGAGGGGGTTTGTTTTATTTTGGCATAAATTTTTAGTTTTGGTTTTTAAGTTTAGGTCTTTGTTCAACTTTGACTTAATTTGTATAAAATGGTGTGAAGAAATGGTCTAACTTTTGCATATGAAATATCTAGTTATCCCAGCAAATATTTTGAAAAAAAAATAGTTTCTTCTCCAGTAAATGGTATGGGTACCCTGCTGACAATTGACATAGATATTTAGATATTTTATGTCTATACTTTCAGTGGATGCATTTTGATGATTTGAGTTTTTTAGTTATTATCATTGTTTGATTTTTGTTAGCCTGTAAACCATTTCCTTTCATCTTACCTCCAACAGTTCATGGATATATTCTATTCTGGGGATAAGGATGGGAAGGCAAAAATAGGCCACTTCTCTTCTCTTGGCCTCTTACCCAGACTATATGTCCCTTACTGCTGTTAAAGATGGTTGTTTCAAATTACCTTCTAAAAAATAAATGTCCCACTTTTTATTTTACAGTTTCATATTTTCAAACAAAGTGTTTAATCTGTACAAGAGAATTATTGTGTGGTTTTTGCTTTGATCTGTCTTTCCAAACTTTGAGAATCATATTTTGAAAAATCTAGATTCAAATGTTGACATTGTAGTCTGTCATTCTTTGATTTGTTTCTTAAATTCATTTTCCTCAAAAGTATTGATATTTTTAACTCAGGAGACTGAGGAGAATTGCAGGTTGAAGGCCAACCTCAGCAGTTTAGTTAGGCCCTATGCAGCTTAGTGAAACCCTGTCTCAAAAGAAAAAAGAAAAAGGGTAGCTCAGTGGTAAAGTGCCCCTGGGTTCAATCCCCAACACCAAAAAAAAAA